CAGCCCATATATTCTCTTCTTTTGCCTCCCCCATGATCAAGGTATCATCTGCAAATTGTAGATGGGATATGCTTAATTCACCCTTCCCCACTTTAATGCCTTCTAGTAATCCCTTGCTTATAGCCTTCATTATCAACCCATTCAAACCTTCTGCTACCAACAAAAATAGAAAGGGGGATAATGGGTCCCCTTGTCTCAGGCCTTTTGACATCTTGATTTGTTGTGAGGGGCTGCCATTTATTAGCACAGATATTGATGCAGTTTTCAGGCATTCTTGGATCCATTTCCTCCATTTTTCGCTAAACCCCATTTTGTTCATCATTGAGTCTAGGAAGTTCCAACAGACATTGTCATATGCCTTTTCAAAGTCTGCCTTAAAAAAGAAGCTTTTTCGTTTCTTGTTCTTTACCTCATCCAGCACTTCATTTGCGATCACAACACTTTCTGGTAACTGTCTTCCTGCAATAAAAGCCATTTGTGTGTCTCCAATTACTCCATCTAACACATTTCTCAATCTGTTTGCTAGGAGTTTTGACAAGATTTTATACATCACCCCGATTAATGAGATAGGCCTGTATTCTTCTATTTTTTCAGGATCATTGACTTTTGGGATTAGAACTACAAAAGATTCATTTGCACCCTTCACCAACCTGCCTGTATCATGGAACTCTTGAATAAATTCCATTATCTCCTTTTTGATTGTCCCCCAGAATAATTTTACAAACCTGAAGTTGAGACCATCAGGCCCTGGTGCCTTTGAGCTGTCACAATCCCACACTACTGCTCTAATCTCCTCCTCAGTGAATGGAGCTGTAAGGAAACAATTTTGAGCCTCAGAGATTTGCTCAAAACTAATATTTTCCAACTTCGGTCTGCTCCACATTTCTTCCGTGAACAAGTTTTGAAAATGCTTTGCAATCTCCTCTTTAACCACTGCTACCTCCTCACACCGCCTGCCATTGACCAGGATGCTATTTATTTCATTTCTTCTCTTTCTGTTTTGAAAGCATTTGTGATAGAATGCTGTGTTTGCATCTCCCTCCCGTAGCCATGTCCTCTTGGCTTTCTGTTGCCACATTCTGTTTTTAATTCTTGTGTTTTTCCATAGTTCTGCAAATCCCTCCCTCCTTTCTTCTATCTCTTCTTCTGAAAGTTGTTGTCCCTCTCCTTTCTTATCTAAATCTGCTATGATCTGTTCTGCATTGGCTATCTTCTGGTCAACCTCCTCCATATAATTGTGACTCCAGCTTTTCAAGGCATTCTTCAACTTTTTCAATTTTTCTTTTAAACAGAAGCCTTTCCATCCCTGTACCTCAGTCGATTGCCAAGTTTCCTCCACCAATTCCCTGAATCCTGGTTTCTCCATCCACACATCAAACAGTCTAAAAGGTTTAGGGCCCCAATCGACCTTCTCATTTTTCAATATCACTGGACAATGATCTGATATTGTTCTCTTTAATCCCCACTGTGTCACATCCTCCCAGTTTAACAACCATTCTTCAGACAACAAAATTCTATCCAACCTGCTTATAGCATTACCATTTGAGTGATAGCATGTGAATTTTCTTCCAACCAGGGGCAGATCTACTAAACCGGAGTCATGTATAAACTGCTTGAACTCCCTCATTTCTCTTATATTTCCACTACTCCCCACCCTTTCATGTTGAGACTTTACTGCATTAAAATCCCCTAGCACACACCAGTTTCCCCTGCTTGTTGTCACTGCCTTTTTAATCTCCTCCCACAACAGTCTTTTGCCTTCTATATCACAAGGTGAGTACACATTAACAATGTACACAGGCACTTTATTCTGTCCCCAAAATCCGAGCACCCCTAAAAAATTTTGTCCTTCAAAAACTTTGACTTTGATGAAACAATTTGGGTCCCAAATGCATAATAGGCCTCCTGATCTGCCATTAGAAGGTTTTGCTACCCATTCACACTCATTCGTGCCCCATAGAGCTCTACATACTCTTGTATCCACCCTTTCCATTTTAGTTTCCTGTAATGCCAGAAACTCTATCCTCTCCTTTTTAACTAGATTAAAGATCCCTCTTTTCTTCCCCCCACCCCCTATTCCTCTTGCATTTAAAGATAAAATAATCATTCTGGAGCTAAAGTACCTGTTTTATCTTCCTCATCGCACTGCTTCCTCAAGCGATCTTTTGCTTTCCTGTCTCTGATTTCCATTTGCTCTATCTTTTGGGTAATTTCTTCTTCATTCCCGTTTGCCACCAGCCCAATTTCCTTTGCAGTCTCCCATATTTCCTTTGCCCCTCTGTGCTTCTGGTTTGCTCGGAAACTCTGGTTCCTCTTCATAATGTCGCTATCTCCCACTGAGGCACCTGCTGTCAAACTTTGTGATCCCGGTAAAAAATCTGGAAGTTTCTCCGTCGGACTGCATGCGTGACTTCCCTTCCCCTTCCCTTTTTTCTGAATCATTGCCTCCTTGCATATTCTTGACATTTTGTAGACCTCTAGGCACAATCTTGCTTTCCTTGCTTTCTTCCTCTTCGGCTTACTCCTCAGATTTTGTCTATTAGCCCTGTCTATCCAATCTGCAGTCCCCCCTAAGTCACTGTCGGTTTCTTTCCAGAAATTTCCTGTGGTCTCCTCTGTATTCATTTGTTTCCCAATATTTCTTTTGTTTTTTGGCTCCAGTCCATCTTCCTTTGTATTGTCATCAGTATTTTGAGCCATTGGACCCATTTCAGCCATCGGCCCATCTGGCCTTCCTCCCGAGGGATCTCCCATGAAGGCTTTTTCACTATTTTGGGTATTTCTTGCAGCTAGCCCATCTTCATTTGGCCCATCAGTTTCTCTTTGAGTTAGCTCGTCATCTTCACCCCTTTCCAGACTTCCCCTGACTTCTTCTTCTGCTTGGCATTTATTATCCCTGCCGTTGGCCGCCTCTTGGGACTCTAAGCACATCAAGCTATCAGGCACCACTTCCAAAGAGTCTAAATTCAAATTTCTAGCTTGTGAGACATCTACCGCCACTCTACTCTCCATTTTTTCTTTTAATTTTCTGTCTTCTTCATCCTCCATCTGATTTACTGACTTTTCCTCTTCCCTCCAACGTGCAAATGCCACGTCGTCATCTGCAACATTCATTGCATCCTGTTCTTCCACATAGTGTGAGCTTCTGCCCTGAATACCATAAGCTTCTTTGCCATACTCCGACTGTGCATTACTCCCCAACGACCAAGCCTCACTATCCTCCGATTCCTCATGGTTGCTAAAAGCATAATCTGATTTTAATCTAAACAAGTGCTCTGTTGATTCCTCCTCTGTCACCTTGATTTTGAATTGAGCTCCCTTAATTGTGATGGTGACTGGTCTAGAAATAAACTCCATTACTGGAGTGGAGATAAGGATCCTTGCAACATCAAACCTTTTTCTTTTGCTGGTGCTTTCGTCTAGAGATACGAATTTTCCGAACATGC